TCCCCGGCCCCGGGCCCGCAGAAAGCCCCGCAGCCGCCTCCCGGCCTCCCCGTGCCGCTCCTACCCCCCCCGGGCCGGGGCTGACCCCTCCTCCTTCACAGCTTCACTCCCGCCACATTCAAAGGCAGAAAACGGGATTATTCGGGGCAAAAAAAATAAATAAATAAAAGGAGGTTTTATTGAAGTTGGGAACACGCGGCACTAAAACATATTTTTAAATGTTTTTATGTAATACACAGTCATTAGCACACTGATAAATACAGCAAATACAGGAATTCCTAACGGTTAACACTATATCTGAATACTTTACCAACAACAGTGAGCTAAAACTCCGTCGTCAACAGGACTGTAAACTCACAACCAGCCTCTGGGCCACCAGTACAAACTCAGCAGGTACCGGTTCTTGACCAGGACATCTGAGGAGGGAGGTGGGCATAATAATAGTGGGGTTTTTTGGTTCAATAAGGTAAGGCCACATTTTTGCCCATGTTTTGTTGATGTCCATAGTTAGAAGGTGTATCAAACCACCAAAGACAAATTTTAGGGAAAAAAGCCACAATAATGGGTGACATTCCAACTGGAAATGCTGTTCTGGGAGAAGCCGTGACAGGTTTGTGTTACTTGGCCATCGTGTCATGCGGAGGTGGGAATTCATTGTCCCGTGTAAGATTTGGAAAGAGGAAGAAAACACAACTAGATTGAAGTTCAGCTCCAAAGGCTTAGACTCAAAAGGTTTGGAAATGTCTTGCCAAACATTGGGTAAAGTTACTAAATTTATTAAAAATAAGGGAAGGTTATTAAAAAAGAGTTTCTAAGACTGCTACAGTGCCTAACAAGCCAAAGTTTTGAGTCAGAACCAACCTGGAACTTTTTGGTTTGATCTTCACTTTAGTTGAAAAGTTATTTTACAAGCCTGATTCTCCCAGTTTTCATTCTCCCGCGTATCCACAGTCTGTGATTCACCCAGAAGCTGGTGCCCGCTCCTCAGGCTCTCAGCGCTCTTCCTAAACCACCAGTGCCTGGCTCCGAGGACTAACTCCCAGCTTCCAGACCTCCTCGTGGCTTTCGTGCCACTGGGGTTAAGTACCCGGCCCCGACGCCAGCGTGACTGCATCTCCAGTCGAGTCTCCTCTGACCGTGGTTTGTCATCACACACTTTTTCGAGGTGCCCCCAAACAGTGCTTTTGTTTCCGACTCCAAACACCCCCTCCAGCCCTAGGGCAGAAGCGAGCGGGGAACAAGAGCTCTCCTACCCACCGGACATTTATAAGGTTTCTTGACCATGTGGATTTGCAGATGCACTTTAAGCGTCGAGCTTTTCCGGAAGCTTTTCCCACACTCTCTGCACTCATAGGGCTTGGCTCCTGCGTGGATCCTCAGGTGGGCACCGAGGGCTGAGCTGTGCCTGAAGGTTTTTCCACACTCCTGGCACTTGTAAGGTCTCTCCCCACGGTGGATCCTCAGGTGCACGTTGAGAGCGGAGCTCCGACGGAAGCTGTCCCCGCACTCCACGCAGATGTGGGGCCGTTCCTCAGTGTGCGTGGTCTGGTGCTTATCCAGAGTGGAACGGTCGCTGCATCTCCGGCCACACTCGGCACACTGGTAGAGGTTGGGCAGGAGGCCACCGTGGTACATGGGCAAAGCTTTCCCCCCGTGGATCCGGCGATGCGTGGTGAGCGCCGAGCTCTGGCTAAAGCCCTTCCCGCACACGGGGCACTTATAGGGCTTCTCCCCGGTGTGTGTTCGCATGTGGGTCACCAGCGAGGAGCTCTGCCGAAAGGTCTTTCCACACTCGGTGCACTCGTATGGCTTCTCTCCTGTGTGGATCCTCTGATGCCGAATGATGGCTGAACTGTCCCGAAAACACTTCCCACACTCCTGGCACTTGTGGGGCTTCTCTCCAGTGTGGACTCTCCGGTGTATAATCAAGGAGGAGCGGTCACTGAAGCTCTTTTCACACCGGGGGCAATTAAAGGGTTTCTCACCCTTGTGGCTTCGCTGGTGGACAATGAGGTGCGAGTTCTGGCTGAAGCTCTTCCCACATTCATTGCACTGGTAGTGTCTCTCTCCCGTGTGGGTCCGCTGGTGCCTGATGACGTTGGACCTCTGGCTGAAGGTCTTCTCGCACTCATTGCACTGGTAGGGCTTCTCACCTGTATGGATCCGCTGGTGTTTAATCAGGTCCGAGTTGCGGGTGAAACTCTTCCCACATTCGGAGCAGCTGAAGGGTTTCTCTGCCAGGTGGATCCTCTGGTGTTGGCTCAGGTACGAGTTCCGGCTGAAGCTCTTCCCACACTCGGGACACTCGTAGGTTTTCTCTCCCACCTGCTGAATCCAAATGGCACCATTCCCACACACAGGTAGGTCTGGCTTGTCCCCAGCAAGGATAACCTTGCTGATGTGGGCTCTGCCACTGTCCTCACACTCCCAGACTTCCATCCCACAGGGAGTTACCATTCCCCGTCTCTTTCCAAAAGACATTTTCACCTCACTTTCCGTCTCCAGCTCCTGCTCGTGGTCCTGTCTTTGATCAGCGTCCTGGAGGGTCTCCTGTGAAGAAAAAGCCACACTTTGGTTAGTTATAGCTCCTGCCATTCTAAGTATAGTCTTTGCTGAAAAATATGTAAGATTTTATTTCATTTTGGATAGGCTCTTTTTGAAAGGGCACTAAATTCCCCAGGAGCATGTTTCATCTTTATCGTACCCTGTCCTGGGCACTGGTGAGGCCACACCT